GTCCCATCCTTGCATGCCAAAGAGTAGTTGCATCCCTCCGAACTACTACTAGAGATGTTCCTTGTGTTGTTCTTTTCAGTACATAAACCGCATCATGCAGATCACATAATCCAATCGTCCTCTTCGTGGTCTGGTCCTGTATCACACAATAATTAGCATGGTAAGTCACTGTACAATTTAGATCATTTGTCAACTGATGAATAGATATCAAGTTACAACTAAAATCAGGTACAAATAAAACATTATTCAATTTGATATCTTTATTGAGATTAATAAACCCTGTCTTTTCAACCAACACTGTGTTCCTTGTGGGTATAGTGATATAAAATGGCTTTTCAAGATTTTTAACTCCCTTTAGAAGTGAAAACAATGGTGTCATGTGGTGTGAGACACCACTATCCAAGACCCACTGTTGATCTCCAAATATTTTGTCATTACCAGCTATAGTTTCATGTTGTTTAGCATTTCTCTTCACTTAAGTTCCACACAATACATGTCCCGTTGTAATTTCTTGTGTGTTGTCTGCCCTTTCGTGACTCTTATTCACATGAGCAAGATGTGTTGTGGGTTGTCCTCCAGTGGGCTGTCCTCCAGTGGGCTGTCCTTCAATTCTGTTAGGACCTCTCTGCGATCTCCAAGTATTACAATTGGGTGGGTTGTTAAGTCTCAATTTTACCTCTTTTTGGATGAGATGCAATGTGCAAAGTAAATATTTATTATATGTATTAAATATTATAATAAGTAAAATATACAAATAAATATTATGTTTGAATATATAAATTATATTTAAAAATATATAAATAATAATTTTAAGTATATAAATTATATTTAAGATTTATAATTTGTCTGAATTAACTTATGGACGAATAATAGCTGTAATAAAAAATACTGCTTTAGAAATTTGTAATAATATGAAATTAGAAAAACAAATGAAAAGGCAGAAAGAAAGTGGAATAAAAGAGTTAGGAAACTTCTGTGCTCAATATGGGTACGAAGGGTTAGTACCACCCTCTAGGAAAATTAAAAAGAAGTTTAGAAAACCTTTTAAAAGACGAAACAATTTTGTAAAGAAAAATAATTCACCCTTTAGGAAGAAAAAATTTTCAAATAATAATAATAATAATAATAATAATAAAAATTTTACTAAAAAACCAAATTTTTCTAATAAAAATAAAGGAATAGTTTGTTTTAAATGTGGAAGATATGGTCATATGAAAAAAGATTGTAGAGTTAAAGAAAAAATAAATAACCTAAATATGACAAATGAATTAAAAGAACAAATTGAGAAAATACTTTTATATGAATCTGAAAGTGAAGAGGAAACAAGTGAGGAAGAATATTTAGAGAATATAGAAACTTCTAGTGAAGAAGAGAGTGAATGCGAATGTGAGGAAAATCCTTGTTCTTGTGCATTTAATATCAATGTAATAAATGCTGAAATCAAAATAGCTTTAGAAATGGTAGATAAAATAACCAACGAAGAAGATAAAATAGAATATTTAAATAAATTAAAAGACTTAATTTTAGAAGAAAATCGTGACGAATCTACCTCCAAACCTAAGTTTGAAGGATATGATTTTGCACAAATAGTAAAGAAAGCCTCTCTAAAAGAAATACCTGTAACTATTAATGACTTACAAAAAGAAATAAAAGATTTAAAAACTGAAATAATCAATATTAAAACTCAAATGATTGAAATAACTCAAGAAAATTATCAACAAAAAGAACAGATAAAAGAAATTCTTGAAAAATTAAATACTCAACCTTCTATAATCGAAAATCAACCTTCGATAAGTCAAATTAAAATCAGTCAACAAAAGTGGCATATTAAAATAAGTTTAAAAATAGGGAAAAATTTTCATAAAGATTTTATAGCTCTAGTTGACTCTGGAGCAGATTTAAATTGTTTACGAGAAGGTATGATACCTACTCAATATTATGAAAAAACTGTTCAAAAGGTAAGAGCAGCAAATTCGAATAAACTAAAAGTTAAATATAAGCTTTCTAATGCTCATATTTGTAATAAAGGAAAATGTTTTAAAAATACTTTCATACTAACTCCAGATATTAATGAAGAAATGATTTTAGGAACTCCGTTCCTTACTCAAATATATCCTTTTGAAGTTTCTCAAGAAGGGATAAAATTTAAAGACCTTCTATTTGAATTCATAAAACCTGTTAAAAATAAAAATATTAACAATTTAAAAGACTTAAATGAAGAAAATTTTTTAACAAGAATAGAAGCTAAAACTAAACAAATTAATCTGTTAAAAACTGAGGTAAAATATAAACAAATAGAAGAAAAATTAAAAAATCCTAAAATCAAAAAAGAATTTGAAAATATCGAAAAAGAAATAGTGAAAGAAATTTGCTCTGAAGTTCCTAATGCTTTTTGGGAACGACATTATTTCGAAGTTGAATTACCATATGAAGATGATTTTTCTGAAAAAGACATTCCTACCAAAGCCAAACCTGTACAATTAAATAAAGAAACTCTTGAATATTGTAGAAAAGAAATTCAACAATTTTTAGATAAAAAATTAATAAGACCTAGTAAATCTCCTTGGAGTTGCGCAGCATTTTATGTCCAAAATGCTTCGGAAATAGAAAGAGGAGAACCAAGAATGGTCATAAATTATAAACCTTTGAATAAAGCATTAAAATGGATAAGATATCCTTTACCTAATAAATCAGAATTAATAAATAGAATTTATAATGCAACAATATTTTCAAAATTTGATATGAAAAGTGGATATTATCAAATAAAAGTAAAAGAATCAGAAAAGTATAAAACTGCATTTGTAGTTCCTTTTGGTCAATACGAGTGGAATGTAATGCCCATGGGACTTAAAAATGCTCCATCAGAATTCCAAAATATAATGAATACTATCATAAATCCTTATTCAAAATTTGCATTAGTCTATATAGACGATGTGTTAATTTTTTCAGAATCTATTGAACAACATATGAAACATTTAAGAATATTTAAGAATTTAATCAAGAAAAATGGAATGGTAATATCTCAAAAGAAAATAAAATTGGCTCAAACAAAAATAAGATTTTTGGGTCATGATATATATCAAGGAACAATAACTCCTATTAAAAGAAGTATTGAATTTTCTGAAAAATTTCCCAATGAAATAAAAGATAAGACTCAATTACAAAGATTTTTGGGATGTGTAAATTATGTAGCAGATTTTATCCCTAATATAAGAATTCTTTGTAAACCCCTTTATAATAGGTTAAGAAAAAATCCAAAACCTTGGACCCCCGAATTAACAAGAATAGTTCAAGAAGTAAAAGCCCAAGTGAAAACCTTACCTTGTCTAGGAATACCACACCCTGAAGCCCAACTAATAGTAGAAACAGATGCTTCGGACCAAGGGTATGGAGGAATATTAAAACAAAAAATAGATAACCACCCTGAACAAATAATAAAATATCATTCGGGTATATGGAACCCAGCCCAATCCAAATATAGTACTATTAAAAAAGAAATTTTGAGCATTGTTTTATGCATGAATAAATTTCAGCATGATTTAATAAATAAAAAATTTCTTTTACGAATAGATTGTAAATCTGCAAAAGAAGTTTTAGAAAAAGATGTTAAAAACCTGGTTTCTAAACAAATTTTTGCCAGATGGCAAAGTTTAATATCTTGTTTTGATTTTGAAATTGAATTTATAAAAGGAAAGAATAATTCTATACCAGACTTTTTAACAAGAGAATTTTTGCAGGGCTCCGTTTATGTCGAACCCCATAAAGAAAATGGGCTCTCAGCCCAATCCTCCTGAAAAATCTGGGCCATCTAGCCTTTCGCTAGATGACTTCTCCCCCTCATATTTAAACCAGACTAGAAAACTCCCAAATACTCTGAAGACCCCTCTTGAAAACAAATTTACTGTATTAGCCCATACACCAAAAACCCCTGAAAAGGCCACTTCCTCTACCACCAAAAATATCCCTAAAGAATTTCATATTTTAGAAAATTGTGAACATGTGGTTACTCTTGAAGATCACTGGACTGAAGAAGATCCATGGAAGATTATGCAAAGTCTAGCTCCTCCTAAATGGAGTTGGATCCCAAAAAATGAAAATTTAAAGAAAAATAAAAAGTTTTATCAATTTATTTTAATAGATACAGGTTCTGTTGAAATAACTCCTGTATCAGATACCCGAGATCCTTCTATAGTAAATTATTCAAAATTAAGAATTATCAAGGTCCTCTCTTACCTTGATTGGAAGACCCATCCCTTCACAGAAAAAACCTTTTCCAGACCTTTCGATCCTCCTTCATATTCATATTTTGATTATCAAAAGGCCTGGTCATATATTCTCCTTGAAAATAACCCAAAACATTCTTGGTACATTTCCTTTAAAAATGAATTACCTAGTTCAATTCCCAATTGGTTTGTAGATTGGTTCTTTAAAATCAGCCCAGTCCAATCTATCATACCTGAAAATGTTTTGACTATATACCGAAAATATAAAGTTCTTACCCCAAATGAATTACCCCATCTCAGATTAATAAAATTCTGTTCAGCCATGGGAATTAGTTGGCTCATGGCCCATCTTCTTGAAATTCATCAACACAAAGAAGAAACCTACCCGAAAACTATTTGTAGAAAAACAAAAGTTTTTTGGTGGAAAAAATTTGAAGTGAAATATGTTGAAGATCGTTTTCAAAAATGGAAAACAATGGGCCTTCAAACATCATCATATAAGGTCCAGCCCAAATTGAAAATAGGAGAATCTCTAACATCTGAAAATTTAGAGAAAATTTCCTCATCCAAAGAAGAGAAGACGCTCTTGAAGAAAAAACTGATGGAAGCCTTATCTTCCTTGGGTTCAGACTCTGAAGACGAAGAAGAAGTTGAAGATTGTTATGCCATCCAAATGGCTCAGAAGCCTGAAGAAGATGAAGAAATTGATTTTCTTAATTTATAGCAATCATCTGAAAAGATTGTTTCAATTATAACAAAAGTACTTCAACGGAAATCTCAACATGGGTATCCAACTAGTTCGAAGCACTTTGACTTGGTGTGCCCAACCTTGCCGCAGTGATCACACTTTAGCTTGGACCCATCTCGCCCTTTCTGCTTGCTGGTGCGGAATGAGTAGAACGCTGATCCCGACTCAACTTTGTTATTCCTTTCTTTTTCTGCTGTGAATCGCGTTTTTTCCCTCAAAATAAAATTAAAGGTGCGCCGAAGTGAGGGTAAAGTATCTGTGTTAATGATGGTGGCTTTAACATGAGCAAACCGCTCATTGTCAAGACTTCCAAGAAATAAGTGAACACGATGATCCTCTTCCCTTTGGCTAAGTTCCTTAGAAGCTCTACAAGTGCATTCTGGTAATGGCTGTTGTTCATTTAGTTCATCAATAAGAGTCTTGAACTTGGTGTAAAATTCTATAACGCTAGTGTATGGTTCTTGTTCCATCAAGCACAATGAACACCATAGTTGATGAATACGAGGTGCATTGGTTTGTGCAAAGCGTTCTTCAAGATCAAGCCATACGTCTCTTGCGGTGGCGGCACGTGAGATACTCCCATGTAGGTTCGGATTGGCGGAGTTGATGATGCAAGCCATCACCATCGAGTCTGCCTTCTCCCAATTCAGGTAATCTACCTTATGTGATGTCGATCTCTTGATGCTTCCATCAATGAAGCCCAACTTTGTCTTCGCACGTAAGGCCATTCTCATGGAACGTGCCCAGGTGCGATAGTTGTCTCCATCCAGCAACACAGCAACAAGGGGTGTTCTTGGATTATCCGAGGGACTAAGATAAAAGGGTGAATTTGGTGTGATAATAGATGCAGATTTGCGATCGTTGGAGGTATGAATTTTCTTCTCCGATTAGTCTTCCACCTCAGTATCGGTCACGGGATCGTCCTGCTCTGATGCCATATTGAAATTGAGTATATGGTATTTATTGATTGATTAGAGTTACAAATTTGCCTCTATTTATACAAGCAAGCCTAACAACTTGATAAGACTGCAACAAAGTAACAACCCATAACAGATTCAGTTTGTTGAGATAAGATAATTTTTCTGTTACTTATCATTCTAGTCTATTATCCATCATTATCCTCTATTATGAGATGTCCTCAAACATAATCGACCAAGGCATGAAGGAATAATAAAATAAAGACATAATGGTATTTTTTTCGTTGAGATAAGATAATTTTTCTGTTACTTATCATTCTAGTCTATTATCCATCATTATCCTCTATTATGAGATGTCCTCAAACATAATCGACCAAGGCATGAAGGAATAATAAAATAAAGACATAATGGTATTTTTTTCTTCTAATTCTTGTAATTCTTCACACTTCGACATTGTATAAAAAATAATATAAAACTCACCATTTAATTATCCTTATTTATATTAAACACAATTTCAAATAAATCTTCCTTTCTCTTGTACGATGCTTCTCCTCCTTTTACATCTGCTTCAAAACACAACATTAGTATTACTAGCTAGAGCAACACCCATGAAAAAATATTTTTTTCAATTTGCATTGGTCATTGGGAGCAAATAAAAGAAAGTAATCGGATGAAAAATCTATTTTTAAAGAGAAAACAAGGCATGATGACAAAGGGAAAACAAAATCCGAGGAAAATGGCCATAGGAACTAGGAAGCAAAAGAAGATAAATAACAACCAATAAAATGATTATGAAATATGTATTTTTATTTCTAACAAACCATTATTTTGATAAGGTTAGAAACAAGTACATTAACATAAACCAGACACTCATGGACTCCATTATTTTTATAACTTAGGAGTGATAGAAATAGTACTTAATTTTTAATAAATTTTAATTCGTAAGAGAATGTGCTAATAATATTTTTAATATAACTTTCTTTGATCCTTGCAATAGCTACTTCTAACCATCCATTTAATTTTAAACGGTCACAATTATTCATAATGAGCCATTATTTTTTATTGGTAACAAAATTCTTGAAAGAAAGTTTATAGGACTGTTCTCTTTCCTCACACTAATAATTTTTTTTATTAGAGTTAGTAAGCATTAACAAAGTTCATTGACAACACATGAGAAGTGAGAACTTCTTTTCACACTTATATCTTGAAACTTATATCAAGAAAAAAAAACTTAGATTTTTTTGGCGATTGTCATGGATTGAACTTAAACTCAATTTACATTGTATTGTGTTAGGTCTAAATATATTAAAAAAGGTTGATTAAAATCAAATTATTTATAAACTAAATTATAACGATATATAATAAGACAGTGCGTAATTGTTCATCAGAAACTTTGTGTTTTTTGTAGAATATCTGACACATATTCAACACCTTTATATATTCTACCAACATCATTATAAAATGTATATATGCATGTGTTACTTTTAGCCATTTTATGATATTTTTATTAACTTGAATATTGTAATTCCTTTATAGGTAGACTTTCATCTATTACTCGTTTAGTTCTAATTTTTGAAATGAAATACCTTTGTCAAACTCAAAGCCAACCAACTTAGTAAAATCTAAATCAAATATCTAAAAAGTGTTTATTTTAATGTACTATATTTCTAAAAATAAGAATCTCAATAATATTATAAGTAGGAGGTTCTAATTTAAGGAATTGTCTTTATTTATCAAAAGTCTTTTGAACTAACTTTTTAGTTAGTTTTCCTTCTTGCAACTTGTATAATTTCATATTGTAATTATTTGATGTCATGTGCAATAAAAAAAACTTTATATTAGATAAGGTAAGAACAAAAGAAATTACAATATTTATATTATTAGGAACAAATACTAAATAAACTATTAAAGAAAGATATATGAATATCTCACACTAAATCATTAATATTATTGTCTAGTATTAGTTCTTTTTTAATCATGATATTTGTAAGAAGTATCCACCCGTCAAAGGTCGTGAGTGCATATAAGATGAGTGTATTCTCCTCCCAATATAGTCTATTTCATACTCAAGGCTAAGATCAAATCTTGGACATCTTGTTTAAGGAACACAAGTTTTTACCACTTAGGTCAACCAATGTCGGTGTTTTCTGCCAAGTAAATATAGAAATGTCCCATAATTCCAGTACGAAACTTGTTTTGATATATGGCTTCTACTGTCAATATTTCACCATCTTTAATTTTGATAGAGCCTAATTTTGGATAACAACCAGACATTCCAACTACATAACCTTTTTCATTTCCTGCTTTCATTCCCGTTCCATATTTTGGTGTTGAAGTACATAAAACACTTTCATCCTATGTTAATAATAAAAAAAATATATTTAGAGAAAATGTATTACAGTATTAAACTTCTTAATCAAGAAAAACATACTTTAGGAATATCTTTAACACATGATGTTTAATAAAACTTGATCTATGATAAATCATAAAGATTAGATAGGAAAGACAATATCAAATATCACCTGTCTATATAGAGTTGCATTAATAACTCCGGCATGCATATGAGTTACACCATATATAAGGTAACCACCTTTTTCTATTGGGATGTTTGCTCTCTGGACATGAGGGGAGTCATTATCACCAATTCTTGGGATAGTATATTCTGCCTATAAGAAATTAAGAAATATGTTACTCAATTCATCATGACAAAGTAGTAGGATATTATTATGGTTTGAAGTTTAATTAAAATGTAAAAGTCTACTAATTATTTATGAAAATTTGCATATTGAATAATTTATCTACCTGACAGTCATGAATTATTTTAGAACCATTGGATCTCACTCGATCAGTTGCATCAAGTATATAAAACTTTAGTGGAACTTGGTGTTCGTCCCAATTAACCCACCTTATTTTGTATCTTAGGGAAACCTTTTTCTTTGGGGCATCAAAATCCTTTCTCAATTTGCATTGTAAGTTATCTTGACAACACAAGAGTCCTCCTCTATAATTTAGGGATAATGGTTTGCCATCAAAGCCTTTTGTGACATTATAAAAGTCTTTTGGGAGATTAAGAAGATTACATCTACATTCTGTACAACCTTTTCTATGTAGTGTACCACGTGTATCAATAGCCATGATGTTGAACAACCATTTTTCCTTAAATCCATTTGGAATTTTTGCAGGGTTACCTAATTCTACCGCAAAAGGATTTGGAAGATTTGAGGATGTTCCTCGTGATTCACTTCCTAAACCCCAATAATGTGGTAGAATATATCCTTGACATGTACCTTCATTTCTTTGATAAATGATTCCATTGCGAAGATCATGATATTGCTCAATGTTGCGTGAAATTGAAGTATTCTCAAAATATTTTATAGCAAGCCAATGATGCAAGTAAATTTCATATAAAGGTACAGAATTTTCATTTTCATCAACTAGTTCAGCATTAAAACTCTTTATCCCAATATGACCTTTTGGAAGTTTGATATCTAAAAATGTTTTCACTGCAATTTTTCCTGGCCCCATTTCAAATTTCTCAGACATAAAAGTAGTTGACTTGATATGCTTGTCAAGCTTAAGATAAGTCAAGTATGCTATACTAAGGAGCACTATTATTATTGACAGTGAGAGTATCATTACTTTAAAGACGATCTTCATATTAATCTGTTAAAAACTATTACATAATTAACTATAAAAATGGTCGTAATGTTATTCTTATGGGTAATACAGTAGATGCAATGTGAAACAAATGCTTGAAAATAGGCAGATTAAGCAAAATTGAAATTAAAAGTCAGAGTATGAAAATTTCAATGATTAAAGTTGCACACCATATAAGAAAATATAAGGTAATGACCAGAAAGAGGATTTAATTTTTGTTGAAAGTGTACAATTGTTAATGTTTACAAGGGGTAAATTTATGTGCATGAAGAGATATTGTTTTTTTCTTTTATTTGTACTATATGGCTTGCTAATGGTAAATATGGCAAAACTAAATACCAAATCAACATGTTAATTTAATCTTTTTGTTGGATGTATATGGTATTATAAATTTACAGATCTGTCATTTAAACCAAATTTGACAAACATTAACTAAGCAACCTAATTGTGCAAACTATCAACTAACTCTTATAGCTATTTTATAACAACTTGATATAACAATTTATTTGAGCAAACTCGTTTACATAACAATACCTTTTAAATGGTATAAATTATTTTTGAAGTTTTTTTTTTGGGATATTTTTGTTCTAATAGTGAACATTTATGAACAATAAAAATATTTTTAATTTTAAAAATATTTAAATTATAAACTAAACAAGAAATTTTAATTCAAATAAATAAGTATAAAAATATATAATGCTCCTTTAGTGAAGTTGATCCAGTCTTACAAGAATAAAGAGTGGTCTCTTAGCTTCCAATATAATTTGAGAGAAACCAACTTTGTAACAAATAACCTAGCTAAGTGAGGAAATTCTCAAGATCACATGGTTCATTTCTCAAGTTTGTCTCTTACAGAAGTGTATTGATTATTTAT